GGGGGCCCGTGCCTCTGAGCCTGTGTTGCATGAGGCCACATGTTCACACTGCAGATGTGTGTGCTCATCCTTCAAGAAACAAAGCATAGGGTTGACAAATCTGCCTGGGGCCCTGTGCAGGGTCCACATAGTCACCTGATTCCTGGAAAGATCTCCTAGCCCGGGATTGTGGAGAGGTCTGCAGACTGGTTCCCAGAGTCCTCACAGGTATGAGCCTGGTACTGACCCTTGTCACGTTACAATATTGAAAATGTTATCTGGAAGACTTTGAGCCAGAATAGAAAACTTGTTCCCACTGTCAAGTTCATGCAGCCATCCAGCTGGGTCAGCAGGTGCACTGTGGACTGCCAGGTGTCAGGTACTTTTGATGCCACCAAGGTGTGGCAGGTTTTGAAAGGCCAGAGCTGTTGGGATGTGGATGCCTCAGGGAGGAGCTCCAAAATGAGACAATGTAGCTACTCCACGAATTTAGCCCTAAACTCTGGCTCCGTTGAACTCACTGGCCTTTTTGTTTAGCTTGGCTAAGTGAGCTAAGCGGCCAGAAGTCCTGAGCCTCATCCATGTCACCTATTTTGTCTCCTAAGTCGCCCCCTCCAGCCTCTGTGTACCATCTCTCAATACTTGTCAGCTGCCATTTCTTTCCTGGACTCTGACCTCATCTCTTAGGGACCTCTGCCATAGCCACAGTCACAGCTCTCTGCACCCCCATTCCCTGGATACCCCACCTTCCCTGGATGTAATCCTCCTACATGGGAGTGGTCCTTGAAAATAACAGTCTGTTATTTCTCCAATGTCCTAGTTTCCAGGGATGTGGAGACCCAGGTTCTGTTATCTTTCTTGGAGGTATTTCCTAGGAGCCAGCTCCTGTCTTTGGGGCCAGCCACCTCCTGGGATGTTCCCAGCTGCACCTGGCACCTGTTTCTGTCGGAGACATCTACTTCAGTGCCTACCCCTCCTTACCATCAACCTCTCTCTTCCCATTGGAGTCCCAGTTCCCTGTGATCACCACCCTCACCCAGGGACCCTGGAGACATTGCTTCCCTCTTCTGGGGTGTCCACACACTGGCTTTATGCTGGTGGTCCAGCTGTGTGTGGTCTTCCCCTGGGGATGGAAATGGGATAAGCCACAGTGACAGCAGGCCCTTCCTCTCTGGTCTGCAAACAGATGCCATTGACAACCACAGGTCATTTAGTGACAAGCATGGCCTCACAGGCAAGCGGGAGCTACAACTAGAAGCGGAGGAAGGAAGACCAGGTAAAGCTGGAGTCCTTGGATGTGCATCCCGTCACTACCGGGACTCCCGGGTGCATGTGGGGATATGGTGGTGACACCTACCACTATCCTGCCTCCAGTCACAGCCTGGGGCTGTCCTGGCCAGGCAGGACCTGGGAGCAACCTGGGAGCCTGTGGCCTCACACACCTCTCAACTGGCAGGACTGGGGAGCAGAGTCATGGGCATGCAGCTACAACAAGGGAGCTGGCCATGGAAAAGCTGGTTCAGGGTCCCTTCACCTCTCTAGCAAGACCCTGGATGGTCTACAATGCCCCCAGGCTCTCAGCCAGCCTCCCTGGCTTCTGATGGGTAATAGGAGGGTGGTGAGGAAATAGGCCACGACACAGTTCTTTTCCATTGTCTAGGAAGTGTTGATGGACCACTGCCTGAGAGCAACATTGTGCGCACCATAATGGAGTTTCTGAGTTTCCTGCACCTTAAAGGTATGGGAATATTTTCCATCTAAAATAGCACGAGCTCGAGTACACACACACACACACACACACACACACACACACACACAGTATTTTAAAAAGTAAAACCTACCAACCAGGTGGGGGACTGTGGGCAAGCTGATATCATTAGAGCCCCAACCCAGGTCCTCAGACCTCTAGGGAGTTTTTAGGGCTTTCTGCAGATCTCTGGGTGACTACTGCTGCTGAGGGTGCCTTGGCTTTGCCAGGGGCTTCTGTGTTTCCGTTTGGTTTTGATCTTAGACACTAGCTTCACAACTACTATGGTCTACCCTCTTTCAAGAGTGGACAGTCTTTCAGAGGTGAGACACACAGATGCTGTCCCAATTCAAGGTCCCCACAGTAAGACCTCACCCCTCTCTATGGGTACGGCCACATGATTCTCTCTCAAGCTAACTACCTGACTGCCATTCTTCCTTATTCAGAGGCTGGGGCCCTCGACAGCCTGCCTGGCCTCCCTTTGGCCACCTCCTCAGAAGACCTAGAGCAGTCCTGAGACCACACCCACCCAGCACCTGTCCTATGCTGTAATATAAAGTCACTCTAGATAGAATCTTCTGCCAACTCCTCAAGCAAACCCTCTGTTCTCTGCTTTGACGCTATGTTGTTATAATTAAGATGTTTTGATTGGAGTGATTATATTGTGTGACACAATAAAGACTAGCAAGTACCTGGGACTGTTTGTCTCTTCTGTGCTGCAGCCCATTACCTCCTGTGTGGTTATTTCTTTATTATATATATGCACATGTGCACCTTGGGGACTGAACTCAGATCATCAGGCTTGGCAGTAGGTGCCTTTACCTGCTGAGTCATTTCTTTGGCTCCCCCACCAGTATGTTTTAAAAGGTAACAGCAGATATCTACCCATGCTTTAGGTGAGATTTAACCCCAAATTCCACATGGACTGCAGAATACCTGTCGGCTCTTGCTGTGCCCAGAACAGTTATCTCCATGCTCAGCTCAGTCTGATGTAGCTGACTAGTGTGCTGCTGGCACAAACAAAGGCACAAATGGGTGCAACCCCAACCTGGAGCAGTGGCTATGAAGACAGGAAGAGAACTGGCTCTAAGCAGAAAGCAGATGATACCAGAAGATCAGAAATGAACATAGGTAACAGACAGCCAGGTACCCAGGTGCTAGATTGAGCTGAGCCTTTCCTTCTGTGTCTCCCTGGCTGTAGGGCAGGCTCTCACCTTTGGTCTCACGTGGCTATGTGTCCTCTACAGAACAGGGGAGATGAAAGGAGACCACAGAGGCTCCACATAAAGGATGACCCCAACCTCACTCTCTTTTTAAAACATCCTAAGTGTGTGTGTATGGGGGACATGTACATATGTGTGCAGATGCCCATGCAGGCCAGAGGCCCTGGAGCTGGAGCTACAAGGTCACCAACAGGGCTCTAGGAATCAAACTCTTCACCACTGAGCCATTTCCCCAGCTCCCACCCCCCCTTCTTTCACACTGAGCTCTGACATGAGCAGGCATCCAGGCCCTGAGACTTACAGAAGACAGACTGCCGGGGCCCAGTGTCAGGGGGTCTGCAGGCCCCATTGAGCTCTAGAAGTCTCTAGAAGGATGATGCCTGGGCTGTTGCAGCCAGCCCCCAAGCCTGAAGCCTGCCCTATGTGGCATCCTTCTAGCCTTGCTCCCTCCTGTGTCCCACCCCCAATTCTCCAGGTCAGTAGCTGCAGCTATGCCTGCCTTGCTTCACCTCAGCCCTCCCAAGTGTCCCTCCTAATGTCTGGCAACCCTGGCACGTGGTCCAGAAGTTTGTCAGGGCCACCATGTCATGCAGCAGTCTTCCTTCTCTTCTGGCTTCAGTGATGAGGGGTACCCTAATAAAATGTTGTTGCTCTACTTCTGGGGAGCTGGCCAGCTCATCAAAGCCTCCTGAGCCCTAGGATCCTGAAAGTCCATTGGTACCAGGCCTCCACGAGAGTGTTCCTGCAACCATTCCCATGGCATCCCAGCCTCTGGGTCAGCAGTGCACAGCTGCCTCTGCCCAACACATACACATCATCTTCAGACTTCTGTCTTTCCTTCATGGTGTGTTTGGGCATGTACATCTGTGCAAGGGCACATGCATATGGGCATTAATCCAGGAGCTGCCTTTTAAGCCAAGGTCTCTTCTGCCTGTAATTTGCCAATTAGGCTAGGCCGGCTGATCAGTGAGTCCTAGGGAGCCTCCTGTCTCTGCTTCCCTGGTACTGGGATTACAAGTCTGTGTCTGGTTTTGTCTGGTTTTTATGTGGCTGCA